ATGCAGCGGATGCAGAGTGAGAAGAGCATCCTGGATGAACCAGATTCGCCTCTCGAGGTTAGAATGGTTTAATTCAATTTTAACGTGTTTATAAATAATTTGCAAATGTGACACATTCCTGTCAACTCTCTATGTTTACGTAAAGCACCTGGGAACAGGCTTTCTCGGGCACCTGTTGCATTATTGAGACATGGTTCTATAATGCAGTTTAAGCTGGATATATCTGACACCGTTTTCTGCTTACTTCACGTTTTTCCTATCGACAAATTGTAGAGGTCTTTTTCAAATTTCCTTCTTCGGAAATCAATGTATTGCCTTAGGAATGATGGCGACAGGAGTGATTGTAATATTTTTTTTTATTTTTGTATTTTTTGTGGTGCTACTGGGTATACTGATAATGTAATAGAACAGGGACATTTTGTTTCACAAAAATCCACTGTTTCTCATTCACATTCAATCGCTATATGGCAGCTTTTGTAGTCTGCGAGTTTTCCCCTCTCATTCAGTGCTTTCACTTCAGAACCGTGGACAGCGAACCTAGTACAGGATAAATTTAGCCACATGTTTAACTGGTCTCTCAAGTGCTTTTCACATAGTTTTAAATAGTACTCGTTTCTTTTAATTTTCACGTTATCGGTGACTTATTTTCTTGAGCCTTTGTTCTGCTAGCTCTGTGCCACTTTCCTTTTTCCTTAGCCTTTTATTTTCACCCGCATCCTGCGTTCACCTCCAGGGTCTGATCAACGCATTGTTCATTGTTACGTATATTAAAACTCTAAATCAGACATTATATTGCCATGGATTTTAACGTCGACGAAATGTGGTATATATCTGCCTGCAATTTGTATGAAAAAAATATTATATCAAAGTAAATGTGTTGTGACTGAATTTCCACTTTTAATATGTAGTTCACTCAGTGTAGAATTTAAGTTGGTATTCTGCAGTTTTATGATGTGGACTCTTAGGGCCGCTGTTGACCAGAGTGTCGTTGACTGAGTGCATGTTTGCAGCAGAACCTCCCAT